AAATAAAAATTTAGGGGAACTAGGAATCATTATACTTTTTTGTCCCCTATTTTTTACCTAGACTACTTCTATTTTAAGTAATAAGTTTTAAGTAAACTGATTTACAAATGCGAGTAATTGAAACACTGAATTCAACAAAACCAAGTTTACTATATTTAATCAAACATGGTTTTTATTGAGACAACATTGCGAAGAAGAAATAGTTCTCTTCTCTTTTCTTTCATGATTTTGAAGAATAGCACAACTTTCGGGTTTTTGAAATTAAACGAAGTCGAATGAAAGTAAAATGAATGATTTGAAACACCCTATCCATTATCAATTAATGCTTTCAATGTAATCTTGTACTAAATAGATATAAGAAGATGTGGTATGAGTGCCAATGAGACAACTCTCCATCCAAGTCAAAATTTATAAAAGTAAACCATTATAGGTCAAAGTACGGTCTTAACACATTATGCAATCTTTGGTGGACCCGAAGGACCAATTAGAATTAAACAATGGCTGAATGATTGTCTGCTGAGCTATATCTACTTACCCTACCTAGACCGGCTGACAAACTAATACAAAATAGTTTCCAATGTAATTTGAGACGGTATGGTTATATCCCAAATAACAATGCATATCATATTATAAATTCATTTCTTAAAAATACTTAAATTGAAGGACATTTTCTGATATGATTCTCCGTTTGTCTCATTCAAATTGCAAACGGTTTAAAAAAAAAATAACTAGTTCATGGCTACCGCCATCCAATTAAAACAACACTTTATAAATTTCGTATGTCCGAAGCGATTTTCTAGATTAACCTTCATCAGTAACTATCAACCCCAAAAAATTGAAACCAAGGATATATATTTGAACTCTTGAGTAGTTTCTCAACACCTGTTTTCACAGTAGTTCTGCCTGAATATGGCTCGATCCAACTTGAGTAAATATAATGTGATGCTTAGTTATTACAAAAAATGAATAAGAAGAACATTCTTAACTGCAACTTAAGTTAAACTAAAATTAAAGCCACCTTTCAAAAAAAAATTAAATAACAAAAATACCGAATTTCAAGAAAAATTCAAAACGGAAAGTCCTTTATCAAATGGCAAAATCAAAAGCTCAAACACATCAAACGAATGAAATAACTTCCATATTCCTGCACTTGGTACAGGCATTCCCTTATATACAAAATGTGTACTTAACCTGGTTTTATAGCTAGCTAAACCTTTCACTTGTTTGACAGTCATATAGAATTCCATTATGTTGACAACAATGTGTGAGCAAAACAAACAGACATAATAGGTAAAAATGTCAAAAATTCAAGTACAGCAGTCAACATTGTGTTATAATCTTAATCACTATAAAAACAAATAACTATATCAACAAAGAAAAACACAATGGCATATTGACACTCTATAGACAAAGTACATAAGCACAAATGAAAGAAAAGAATACAAAAATGACAATAGCACTATAACACAATGGCGGGATGTATATATACCTAGCCCCGCGAAAAAAAATTGAAAATGGAAACAGGGAATGTGTCAAAGAGACAACAACCCCACCAAAGAGCAGAAAACAGCCCAAGGCCATCAGTGGGTCTTCAACACAGCGTGAAAATTCCACATCCGGAGGCGGGCTTCAGCTGGCCCCTAAACATAAATGTGTACTAGTTCAGCGAAAATGGACATCACACTCAACTCCGAATTATATAAATGAACCAAAATAAGAAAAAACATACAAGACTAACAAAGGCCAGAGGTTCCCGACTTGGGACAGGCGCAAAAATGCGGCTGGGTTCAGCACTTCGGTGTTGACATGAATATCAATTCTATGGTCATTTTTATAAATTTCCTGTTTACAAAAGTATGAATTTTTCGAAATACTAAGGATTTTCTTATCCCATGCATAGATTACCTTAGCCGTATTTGGCACCATTTTTTGGAATTTTGGGTCCTCAATGCTCTTCAACTTTGTACTTGTTTGGCTTTATAACTATTTTGATCTGAGCGTTACTGATGAGTCTTATGTAGACGAAACGCGCGTCTGGCGTATTAAATTATAAGTATGGTACCTTTGATAACTAATTAAACATGTTTTGTGAGATATCAATTTCCCACATACTTGCAGCCAATGTAAAATAAACATACACACAGCAATACGCACAGTAAAACTCAGTTTAAAAGTAGTCCGAGTCCGAAGTTAGAATAAGGTAACAGAAACAAAACGACAATGATCAACATAAATTAACAAAGGACTACTAGCAGTTATTGACATGCCAGCTCCAGGCCTCAATTAAACTGATTGACAGATTAACATCAAGCACAATACAAAAGTATATACCAAAAATGAACCAAACAGTAAAGGTTAAAAATATATAAAGACAAATAAAAAGAACACTATAACACGTAATAAATATGATAAACAACGTCAGTACCTTCAATCTATACTTCAAGACCATCATGTATTATCTGTGAGGTTGATACGGAATGTGTATCAACAAGGTCTTAATTGGTATCTTCCAATGAATTATTTTTTGAAAAAGGACGAGACGTTCTTTGACATAACCCTGGTTCATCAACTTTCTGCTCAGATACTGGTGATGTTTTATAAAGTCTGAGTAGCAGCTGCAATCTCTTGAATACCGAATGAGTTGGGAAATGTATATCCCATATGCAGGTGAAGTTGGTATATTGCTGCTATGGTAGGGAAATTGATAATTTCAAAATTGAAATTGTCTCGTTTCTCATAGATTCTGGTATTGAGATGACCACTTATATCAAATTGAGTTGTAAGTCCTAAAAATGAGGCGGAGGAAGCCGTGTCTGTTGTCTTTTTATTGTGTCTTTAATTTCCTGTTCTGAAGGATATATTAATGGAACCTAATCAGAAAAGTTTGGATTGATAATGGAAAAAACATCATCAATATATCTGAATGTGAAATTAAATGATCTGGCTTCTTTGATTTTCTTGTGTCTGAAGGAACTCCAACTCAAATAAAAATAAGAAGAGGTCGGCAAGGAGAGGCGCACAGTTCGTTCCAATAGGAATGACGACAATTTGTTTAAAAAGTCTACCTCCAAATTCAACAAATATGTTGTCAATAAGAAACTCCAGCATACTGGTCAAGTGATTATTATAGATCTTGGTTTGGTAAATTGAAATACACATGCAAAGTTCCACGCGCTCTTTAACGGATAGGATTTACTTACTGAAAACCACCATCTCATCCAAGTTTATAGTTACAAAGAGAATATTTGGTATGTCACGGGAAAATGTAAACAAATAAATCATAAGTTCAAGCACGTCTCGCCTTATATAGTGATGTTGCTAACACGTACTAAAAAAAACAAGGAAGGGAAATCAGAACAGTGGGCAGGATCCGGTCAATACCAAATAGTATTCCTTCAATTTTAAGTTTGAAATTATACACTGTTGTATAATTTTATGTTTGAAAGCTACTGAAAACAAACTTGATATGGATGCTGCTTAAATTGTTTCATTGAATTTATAGATATCAGTATCTGGTATATCATTTTACAAAAGTATTTCTGTGTAATATTTGTAACAGTTTCCGAAACGAAGCAAAAAGCCTAAACCCATACAATTGAGACTAATATCCAAACCAGAACTTTGGCGGGAGTTGATATTTATTCTTTGGATAAATACATGAAATGTTCAACTTTTTATTCAGTAAGTCTGACAAATATAGATATGAATAAATAGAGATCAATATATCTGATATTAATTTAGAACGTCTTGGAATATTTTTGATTGTTTTTAACGTCGTTTAGTACCAATAAGTAAATAAAGGCGCAGTAGTTTACCAATGTTCAAATCTCGAAAATCGATTAAGAAGAGAAACAATATTATCAAACAAAAGCTGAAGGAATCGCATGATTCTAAACATAGTAAGCGTCTTCTGTAACGCATGCATCACTGGCAATGCGAATCAACGGTCAGAATTTAAACTTAAGCAGTGTAATTAGGGATATAACAATGTTTGGAAACGTTTAAAATTAACTTGATATGTTTGTACTATTTAATAGATACGCTAATGGTTTACTGTTTCATTGGCGGAAAGTATAATCTGATTAACAACAACAAAAAAATAGCCAGAAAGACCTGGTTCTAAAACATAGTAATATGGAAATGCAAAAAATACAAAAATACCGAAAATGTTAATGCAAATTGTTAAAAAAAATTGGTCATTTTCAAATCTAGAAATACTGAGAAGAAAAAATGACAAGGAACAAGGAAGTATTTTAACTTGAAACGATACAATTAATAATCTTTCTGTTGAATTTTAGAGGGATGTTTTTGATAGAGCTTTTGAACAAATTGTATTACGGAACAGAGATTTAGGGCTTTGAAATTTTGATATCTTAGAACGCATGCATCTGACGATTTTCATTCATTCAACATTAAAATCGATATTTATTGCTTAACTTGGCGCAATTTCCAATTTATCTTCATGTAAAAGTTCAAATGATATATTTAAGAGACATAATTATGAAATGCATGTGAAAAATATGTATCTACTTTGCAAGTAATTGCTTATTACCATATTTGGATCTGAAAGCAGATTGTTACCCTATTATTTTTTTAACATGCATTTCTGTAGTGTAACACGTGTGTGTGTGTATTTCAGCTTTGAAATTCAACACTGAATTTAATAGTTGAAGACACATTTAAATTGCTAAAGAAGCTTGTCAATATGCCAGTTTCAAAGGAAGGGTTGAGTATGTTTAATTTGATAATCTGAAGTGGAAATTTACTGTACATAAACAAATCTTTGGCATGTCAGTTAAACTGTAAACCGATTTATCATACATTGAAGGACCACATGCCTTTCACTGTGATATCTCTGACACGTTCCTATAAAACAGGAAGGATAATAAAAACAACGGGTTGGATTCCGTTCAGCATTAAAGACAATTCCTTCATATAAGGTTTTGAAATATACTCTGTGGTATCATTTGTGTTTGAATGTTACTGAAAACCCACTTGATATGGAGACTGCTAAAATTATTTCATTTAATGTATGGATAGTTTTATTGATATTTCAGTATCAGGTAGATAATTTTACAAACGCAGTGGTGTGTTATTTGCGACAATTAGCGAAACGAAGCAATAAAAAATACATTAAGATATGACTTTTTAGAACTCATCGCAACAGATAGTAATCAAATATTTTTGTTTTAAAGTATATGATAGACCTATTGATATGCCATTTATGTATTTCTAATTTGATACTCTTCAGTGGTAATTTGCCATTAAAATCAAAATGAGCTTAGTTACTCCGGTTAACGAATAAGGATATGGCACAGATATGAATATTTATAGACCTTAATTTGTGCTTTAATGTGTATAAACATTTTTTGGAAAAATAGGTATACATTTGATATGATACTTATTAAGTAATCTGGTTTTTCGAAACAATCAAATGTGACAGCTATGTTTTAAATTATTGAAAGGATATATCAGAAATATTGTCTATAAAGATCTTCTCAAAGCTAAACATAACGAAAGCAACTGCTATCTAAAACAACAGATAAGTGTTGCATTTGACTCCTTAAGAATGTATTCTTCTGACGTTTCGGTCTCGTTGAAATCTCGTTATTTCCAAAACATGTGATACAAGTGGAAAATATCAATGAAATTTTAAAAATGTTATAATTAAACTTAACTCTGTGAAAAAATTGTGTATTTACAATGAGTAGTTTTTGAGTAATCAATTTTTCAAATTTTACGACCAATCAAGTCAGTCTTTTTAGCCAAAATTTTGAGAAAATGAGTGAGGAGTACAAAAAATGATTTACCAGAATCATGTACATCCCATATCATTTTTTTCTTTTCAAATTTCTTAGATATGTAATTTTTCAATCATTTATAACAAAAAAGTTGAAACAATATGCATTTTGTTCTTAAAACTGAGAAAAATCACAAATTTACAAAATTGACAGCATGGTAAATTTGACACAAAAAAGCATCAAAATATGATAAAACTTTCTTATATTAACACCTACCTATAGTTTTTTTTAGTTAAATTTATTCAGATTGGTCCACTTCATCTTTATTATAAGTATGAAAAAAAGTTTAATTGTGAAACTGTGATTTTTTTCACGATAATAGCCCAAAAATTGATGAAAAATGGGAAAATCATCAAAATTGGGTACTTTGAAAAGGCCGTAGCAAATAAAAAAGTGCACCACCATAAGATTTTTTCTTCACCAATTATTTTTTTACAGTCATTAAAACCCAAAAATCAGGTTAAGAAAAAAAGTTTAATTCTAGAAATGTTTGGCTCCTCAGAGGTGTACATCCTTAATCACAGAACCAGTCTATTAAACTCTTTGTCATTTGTAAATAGATGTATTCTTTTTTTTGCAGATTGAAGACTCATATTGCAAAGGGAAAATAAGTTTGAAGTTATTAGAATATAATAATCCGACAGGAACTGATGCTAAAGGAGACTGTTGTGATTCACCCGTAAATGTTCCTGGTTGTACTAGAGGAAAATGTGATCATTTATTTAGGATATGTTTATTGGACAGTACATCTCGGTAAGTAGTATTAACGTCTTAAGGTATTACATAGTTTATAACATTAACGGTGCCATTTTTACTGAGTGCTCTTGTAAACTCATTTATTGTACGTTCTTTCATGTTCCTTGTGGTTTTTTTTTTCAATGGTAGACATTAAAAAGGTCGGGAATTTTTCCTGTATTTGCAAATTCACAATTAGGTTCTTAAATGCAGTTGTGATTTACAGTACTGAGTTTCCTGATTTATAAGTTCATATCCACTTTATGTGACTAATAATCTCTGTTGATATAATAAGGAAATATGACTCATGAAAATCTTGTTAGAAAACGCATGTATTCACTGTTGATACCTGTTCAATATTTTTTTTATATTTCAGTTCCAATACCAGTAATTGTTTACATTCTACTGACATAGCAACATTTTTTTTTATATTTCAGTTCCAATACCAGTAATTGTTTACATTCTACTGACATAACAACATTTTTTTTTATATTTCAGTTCCAATACCAGTAATTGTTTACAGTCTACTGACATAACAACTTCAGATCAAAATGTTGTCAAGTTTGACCAGAATCAACAAAATGTACAGTTTGTATTTGATACTTGGAAGGTAGGACATGTTCACAACTTTTGTGCAAAGTAATTCAACAAAAATGTATCCCTGCTAAATAAAGTAACAGTAGAATACCGCTGTTCAATAGTCATAAATCGATTAAGCGAAAACAAATCCGGGTCAAAAACCAAAACCGAGGGAAACACATCAACTATAAGAGGAAAACAACGGAACAGTAGAAACGATGAACTGCAACAAAAACAAACGCCAACATACATAGAAACGGACTATTTGATAACAACTGCCACATTCCTGACTTGGTACTGGACATTTTAAGAAAAAATGGTGGGTTGAACCTGGTTTTATGGCTAGCCAAACCTCCCGCTTATATGGCAATGTTAAAAATACCGCTATAATGACAACATTACGTGACAGGAATACAGTACAAATAAACACAAGGACAGAAAACACATAAATAAATAATATAATAGTGCACTACAACATGTTAACCACAGAATAACAACGAACACCTCCCATGAATCCACTACAGCACACCTGGACACCACAAACAAATTATAAACTGTGCATCACACGAATGTATCAACGCCACAAAAAGTGACGTATATTCAAACGATACTGAAATATACAAAGATTTTTTTAATGTGTAAATGTCCACACAGAGTAGTTGACTTACATTTTGAAATACAGATATTTTCTACCTAAACATTGATTTAAATTGTATTTATTATCAAATTTTAATTAAATTCGTCAGTATATGTGTTTGTATCACTTGTTATCGTTGTAAACTGTTCAAAAAATAAATGCTCCTGAAATTAAATTAGCCAATTGAAATTAAGCAAATCGCCTTTTGCATAAAAAATGAAAACAACACGTTATAAATTTGATGCGTCTGAAGCGCTTTTCTGGATTTATCTTCATCAGGAACGCTCTAAGCCGAATATTTGAAAGTCAAAGATGTATAAGGACCGAAAACGTTGCAGAGCTATAAACCAAAAAGTACCTAAAACTAGCCAAATCCATCTACGGCCTACTTCGCCTGAGGGAGTTGAAACCTTAGTGTTAGTATAATTTTAAAATTTATAAACGGGCAATTTTATATAATAGTACACTACAACATGTTAACCACAGAATAACAACGGACACCTCCCATGAATCCACTACAACACACCTGGACACCACAAACAAATTATATAGATAGTTTGTTATATATCATGTCAGTACCGAAGTACTGACTACTGAGCTGATGATACCTTCGGGGACTGATAGTCCACCAGCAGAGGTATCGACTCAGTGCTGTACAAAAGTCATATATAAGGAAAACTGCGTAGCGATACAATAAAAAGTTTTCCTCGAGTTAAGAAGCTTTACCGAGTAATTTTTTATTTGCAATCAAATTAATCCAAGGAGTTGATTGGAAAAACAGCATGATGTCTGAAATAAGGGATCTAAAGAACATGTGTCGCTTAATTTTGGCTGCTGGATGTCAATTATTGTCACATTTACCTTTTATGTCTATTTGGGTTGCTCACCAAATTTTCACCAAATAACGGAACTATCAAAAACTGTCATACAGGTTGGAGGTTTAGTGAGCTATAAAATCAGGTTAAACCCACCATTTTCTTCGTAAAATGCCTGTACCAAATCAGGAATATGACATTAATTGTTCACTCGTTCCATTGTTTGATATCGATTGATTTTGTCATTTTTTATGGACTTCCTATTTATAATATACCATAGAGTTTTTGTTATACTTTTTTACCTGGATGTATGTGCACCTTGAGCTATGACCACTCTCCAGCATTGTAAACTAGAACATAATTTTTGACCAAAATCTCTATTCTGTTCATAGTATCTTCCTGGTTCTTTTTTTTTTTAATCGTTAACAGTTTCTTTCTATCTTCTATAGTTTTGTCTATGTTACAAAAATGGGTTAACATCGTAATTGAAGGGCAATAACTCATAAAAGAAGTCGACTGACTATAAAACCTCCTATACAGAGTCAAACAACGATTTCCGCAATTCGACTTATTTGAAGAACTCACCTTGCTGATTATTTTGCTATTCAAAGTTTTTCTGTATCTATTGTAGTTTTCAAGATAATAGGCAAATATAAACAAATTGGTAAAAATAGTCATTTAAGGTGGATCGGTTGTATTCTGTCATCTTGGATTTTAAAAAAGAAGACACAATATCATTAATGAAGTATGCACATTTTGAGACAAGTATGTAATTCATTTGTGAAACTTTCATTTTAGTGAAGAAAATTTTGAGTTTTATCTTAGCATTAACCTCTCTTTACAAATACAGAATACTATTTGTTTGATTTGATTTTTTATTTCTTTTAGCAAAAAACGTGTCCTGTGACCCCAATCTTTATTTTATTATATTAAGCATTATAAGAGCTATCATCTCATATCTAATCTGAACATTTAAGTTTCTTTCTATCACACACAATTGCTGCATTATGTATAATCTATACACAATTTAACAACCTTGCTTGAAAAAAAAAAGATCTGTCACCAATTTTGTTAGTATGTTTTTGTAAACGCATGACTTTAACTTTATTTTGCCAACTTATTACATTCCGTCGATTTTAATTTACCCCTCCCCACATCTACCTAAGGACGAGAACTCCTTTAAGAAGTCGTCTTGAAATTTTGATGTAAAGGGACAAGAGGTAGATCTTATCTATAAATATTTCTGCGCAGTCCGATTCTCTCTATCTATAGCTGTTTTCAAGTTAATAGACAAAACTTGCATTTTACCCCTATGTTCTATTTTGATTCATGTCGGCCATGTTGATAATCAAGCGGGATCATCGCACACATTTTTTTAAACAAGTTAGTACCCAAATGTTATTTATGCCCAAGTTTTGGTTCAAATTGACCCAGAAGTTTCAGATGACAAGATTGGTCACGAACTTATTCGAGGGAATAGAGTCTGTGAGTACAATTCTCCTGTAGATCTTGGGAGGGTATTCATTATTTTTGAGGTATTTTTATGTTAAGTATAAAAATAATTGTGTCATCTCAGATTATAGCTGTGCATACATTTCTATTTTTAGAATTTTATATTTTATGTTTATGTTATTGCCTTTTCCCTCTAATTTTGTATTCAGAATAAGGGCCGTTGCTGACATACCGTATAGCGGGTTATTTTCGTGGGGTGTAAATTTTCGCTTATTTTCGCGGATAGAACAATTCTTCAAAATAAATTCCGCAAATTTAAAAGTCCACATGCAATGGTATTGTATAAAAGTTTTGATTCCGCCAAAAAAATAACCGCCAAAATATTTGGTATACCTTATTCTATGAAAATCGCGAAATTTTACACCCGCGAAAATAACCCGCTATACGGGGTATCACATATCACATGGTTAATTTAGACACCAATGAAATGTCAACATTCCAATTCAAATACTAGTATTATCCTATTCTCAACGACAAGACTATGGAAATCAGTCTATTGTAAAAATAAAAGAAATTATGGTCTTTCCCTTTCATTTTCAACCATAATTTATATCGAATAAATAGGATAGTCTATGGCTTTGTCAGTTTCTCCTCAACTTATAAGTTCCCTTGGTATTTCCATCTCTTTTTTTCCAACAAGAGCCTTATAGCATAACAGTTTCTGATTGTTCAAATACAATGCATTTTCTAAGGATGCCAAAATATTACTTTTTGGTCTCTGTGTATTGTAGCTTGTGTTTGTGTGCCTTGTTAAAGGGATCGCTTAAATACAAAATTTCATTCCTGGTATCTATGATGAGTTTATTTAATTAATTTCCCTAAAAAAATAAAGATATTTGTATTCATGAATTGCACAATCGTTATTTCAGGGAGAAGCACCTATCAAGATTGAGGTATTTGACTCCAATACAGATGACAAGAATAATGTCTTAATTGATCAATTCCTTGATAGATACAATTCAACAAAGGCAGGTTTTAATCAGACCAGTATTACAGCAGTTAACTTCAATCTTATTGGTACAAGAAGTAGAAATCCTTCAAGGTTAGGTTAGACCTTACATCTTCATGAATTTCAATTGATAGGGTGTTACCAAATGTATACAGTATTTACATGATATTCTTTTTATTTTATGCTGAACGAAGATTACTAATCATTTATGCACAATAAAAGAATGGTTATGAACTATTTGTTAAATAGTATCATAATCTGTAAAAAATATTTGTTTCTATCATAGATTTATATTTAATAATACAGCTGTGTAAATTACTGTGCCAAATGAATTTTACAAAGTATTAGCTTTACTCTTGTGTATCATCTATTTAAAAGATATCAGATAAAGTAAACTTAAAGAGTTATAACCAATAATTGACACTAAACATGTGTAGTTGAGGATTTTATGTAAACACTGCTTGAATAGAAGGAAATGTGGTGATCACGCCAGTGAGACAACAGGCAACAATAAAAAGAAACCGTTTTAGAAAGTCGTTATAAACTGAACAAATGTATATGTTTTATTTTCAGTTTGAGGTTTTCAGTGTCAGTATATTGTGACCCACAGTACTATGGAAGTGATTGCTCTGTTAAATGTGTGCCTACAAACAAATGTGATGGTCATCATACTTGTGATCACGAAGGAAACAAAGTCTTCCTGAGTGGATGGAGAGGAAAAGACTGTGTTGAACAGATTCCAGGCAGTGATGTCGACTGCAGTGTATACACAAGTAAGTTGACTTTAGGGGGCTGTGTTGACCTGGTTGAAAGGTGTGAGCTTTGCGACCTTCTATAGATAGCAACAGTCAATTTTAAAAGAGTAACAAAAAGTATTGTTCGTTTGATAATTATTTATTTGTATAGTATTTCATCAGATATATGTCCAATATAGATCCACCACTTTATTCTTTGTTTAACCACCACGACTGATCAATTTCGTTTTCACAAAAGTTAAAAAATTATTACAGCGTAAAATAAGACTTTTACAAGAATTCAAACGTATGGAATCTATAGCACATGCGGGATTCGAACTCACAACCTCAGCGTTGACAGGCTAGTGATACAGTAGTTTGATTACTTAGACCACTCGGCAACCGAGGCCCCCTAAATTATACATCCTAAGAATACGAAAGAGAGGTTATAAAGGAATATGTCATGGCTTTTGAAACGATCGTATTTAGGGATTATGACTTTATTAAATAGAAAATAACATTTTTGGCCTCCTGATAATCGGCGTAAACTGAAACCATATGTTAGTTTGCCACTTTTGCATACTTAAGAGGAAAAATATGTACTTGTGGAAATCGTTTTAACTTAATTTTACCCTAGTAGAGAAACCCTTTTCCTGAAAGATAAGTGAAATGAGTAATTATAGTAAAAACCAGCCTTAACTGAATACCACTCACAGAACAAAAATAAAACATCCAAGGTTTATGGGTTGCCTGAGATTTACCTGTTTTTTCTTACAGATAAACTGGAAAAAAAACGAAAAAAAAACCACAAATGTTTATTTCACGGTTTAATAAAAATGTCAGTTAGTAGTGAAAAAAATCAATGCACGAGCTACTGTCAGTCCACGGAATCAATTTACAAAGGTGGAAGATACCAGGGGGACATTCAAATCTTATAAGCGGAAGTAAAACTGACAAAAAGACAAACACATCAAAAACCAAGGACTAAGCGACACGAACCCGTGCAAAATCAGGGGTGATATCAGATGCTCCGTAAGTTTAAGTAGATTCTGCTCTACTAGTTGCAACCACTTGTTGCTCATGATAAGTATAAATCGGTGAAAAGTGTAACTCAGGGATGTCACAATCGAGAAACAAGTACAAATTAATCATTTTGATTTTCATCTCATTCCCCAATGCTTACCTTGATTATGTATCTAAAGATCTCAAGTAAACGGAATGCCTTTAGTTACAATGTATAATTTAAGACGAAATTGATAAAAATGTCAAATTGGCTGAAATAACTGTTTTGGGAACCCTGAAATACACATCTGTGTTTATATAATTTTTTGTACCAAACCCCAGTGATAAAATGTTGATGTGTTTAGTAACAGGTAAGTATGAACACCCTTTCCAGAAGGATATGTGTACCAATGACTAGTAAAATGAATCATCTTGACTCGCATTTTTAATGCTATATTGTGTGTGTACTTAATCGATACTATTTTTTGTAATATTTTGTTATCTTTTATCGTTTTTTTATTCTACAGATAAGACAGAGTTTTCGTCGAGTGAATGGGAAGGGATGTATTCCTGCGACAATAAACAACACAATTACCCATTTGTTTTGAATGCCACAAAACCTAAAGATAGACTTACTATTGATGCAACTGTTTCCTTCAGCAACATCACAGTCCAAGTTTCTGGGACATATTCAAGTTGGAGTAAGGCATTAGATTTGCAAGTGGAGACATCACTTGTGTATGAAGGTCACAGTTTAACTAAGATTTCCTTAGAAACCAGAGAAATTAATACATCTGGTATGATTGGACAGTTATCTTTATATAAAGCAGATGGTGGAAAATTGACCTGTATTGTTGATCCTCTGAGTTTGAAAAAAGGTAGGATAATTGCTTCCAATTGTTAATCTTTAATTTTTCAATTTATTTTCAATATATTTAAATGAAAATTTGCTTGGTGTCATGGTGAATGTATTACTGCGACAATAATCGACACATATACCCATTTTTCTTGAATTCTACAAAACCGAGAAATACTTTATATTGTATTGCAACTGCTGATGCAAGCATGTCCATTAGCAACAATGCACCCTCGGACTCAGTTTGGATAAAGTATTAGCTATTGCAGTGAAGACTTCCGCGAGATTTCTTTAGGCGCTAGAGAAATAAGTATATCTGGTAATGGTATGACAATTTTTGTTATATACTGAAAGTATTGATGAATTAACTTGTATGGTTAATCCTCTCAACTTTAAAAAGGTGCTTCAGATTGTTAATAGTTTCCTTTTGTCATTTTTGATTTCAGTATTTCAAAAATTTCCGTATCAATTGAGTTATATAACCAACATAAGATGAGGCAGAGAGTATGTTACTGCTTAGATTCTAGTTTGAAGTCGTCCATGTGTGTGAATATCGAGGGAATAGATCAAGATATGAAGCAGACCTTCTATTGCCGGTAATATCCTCAATCTCACTGGTATATATGAAATGCAAGCATTCACTGAATGTGGGTTATTGAGACATCATCAATATATCTGAAAGTGAAACAAAGAACTTTGCAAGAAGTTTTTTATTCTTTTTGTCTTTCAAAAGATCTTATATAAAATCTACTTCATATGAGTACCAAAACAATCCGGGAAGTAGGGATGCCCAATTAGTAGCCATTTGAATTTAGACTGTCTATTGAAATATTTATCCACCAAACTCTACAAATATGTTGTCAACCAAAACGTAGTCCATAATTTTGATGGTACCATTTTTTGTGTATTTGTTGTTGGCATCAGTGTGGAGATTCACATTGTAAGACTTTTCATAACCTAAAACAAGAAAATTGTATGTATGGTATCCATTTTTGCAGAAAAAGCTCTGTTAAAATGAAACTATATATTTTACATTACTGCAAAATTGGAAAAATTGTTATTTAATCTTTAGAATCTTTAAGAATCCACATCTGATTGACACCACTGGTTGATTATACCTCATCACCACGTTTCTAAAGGTCATACTTTAACTGTAGAAATATTGGTAGTAGGAACTTTAGAAAGATATGTAGTCGAACGTCTTGACAACCCGGATATACATATTTCTTTATCAGAATGTTTGTGAAGTTTAGGCATCAAGTATAAATACGGGAGATTTGTATCGTCCAAAGGAAAGAATGACGGATTTGTTATTATCTAGAATCCCCCTTTTTGTGAATCCTTCATATTGTGTTTTTGTTGAATACTAAGGAATGTTGATAGCAGACTGTCATTGAATTCCATATTTTTATTTAGAAATTATGAAAAATAGTCTATTTTAGTTCAATTATGAAAAGTTTTAATATATACCTAACTGCGTTTTTTGAGAATTTTCAGTTACAGCCACATTTCCTTTTCATCCCAATTAAAAAAATTAAAATAAAAGGTGCAAAATGCCTTTTTAGTAGCACTTGGTCGAAATTGCTGCTGGTTGGGTGTCATATAACGAGGGCAACACCAGTCCATTAGTCAGTTCTTTGCAACCGACATGATATGTTACATACATTTCTTAAAAATTACATTAATAAATTACGAAATTACGAAATTATGCAGAAACTAAGGTTCCAATTCCCTAGACGAAATAAACCTTAGATAGCATTGCCTATTCTTTTATGTATCTTTGGCGTTCAGCTCTTCAAGTATTTATTCATCTTTTGGTCTTCAGCTCTTCAAGTATTTATACATCTTTTGCTTTAAATCTTTTGTTTTCAGCTTTTTTCATATGAATTTTAAGTATAATCCATAACAGCGCTCCGGACGCATTTTTTATTACTACCACATAGTCAACACAGCTGTTGGTGAACTACTGTTAGTAAATAAAGTTATCAGTCATTTATTCAGTGATTCGCCACTGAAATGATTTGTAACGTACATTTTTTAAATTTTTCTTGAAACAATTAAGGAACTAAGATTTCAACTACCTGAGACATCGGTGGTTTTGGCCATTCTTTTTATTAATCTCTTTGTTCATATACCTATTCAATTATTGATATTTGGCTTTCATAGTTTTGGTTATTAGCTTTCCTGATGAAGGGTTCCTGAAAAGATTTACCTGCACACCACTTTTCAGGAAATGTTACCTTTTTCTCGACTGATATTTTTCGAAAATACTCCTCCAGAACATGATATATCTATTAAAAAAAAAACAAATATCAATATATTAGAAATAATTTAGCTGCACTTTCAAAGTTAAGTTGCTTATCGATAAGCAAGACGTTACCAAGGAAATAATTATTTGAGATATATTTATCGGAAGTCGTATAAAAATATCGAAAATTTGTGCAGAACGAAGAAAAAACGTAAAATGGGTACACCGGGTATCGACCAATCACAATGTAGCATTCTTATATATATTGTCATTATGTTGAAAATCAACAGCGAGATACACATGTCTTAAATTTGTAATATCTTATTTTATGCTATGTGAGATTTATCGTTTCAACAAAACAAATATGACATGTTTTGTTCTGTTTACATATTGTAACATCTTTATCTAAATATTTACTCATAAGACAATGAATAGCATATAAGAATTTAAGATAAAAAGATTTTTTATTCCATCTTAGCAAAGTGTATATTAGTCTTATGATAAAATACTTTATCTTATTTTTCGTTGTATTTTCTTTGCTCTAAGTATCTAGTTGAAAAAAATGTCAAATTATAGACTAACAAATTACAAATAAAAATATTATTGAGATTGAAATCGTTCCACATGTAACATATTTATGCTACTGGAAGAGTTGACTGCACAAATCTTCTAAAAAAGCAGACATGATTAAACTATAATATTTATATTTCTCTATGTTCATATTTTTTCCATTAAACTTTATAAATATATAGAAAAAAAATGCTCCCACGTTTTCTAAATCCTGGATTTGAAACGGATACTATCAAAATTTTATGTCACTTTATGCTACAAATAATTGTGCATTACAGTAGACATTTTCCTTCACAATATTTAAAGTTACAATTAGTCATTACATTCTAAAAATGTGAAGATATGATTAAAGCTTTTAAATCTCCTAGACAACATATATGTACGTTTCTGCGATAAAGTGTATCGACAAGTAGTAGGTATTCCTATGAGCACTAACTGTGCCCCTTTAATAGCAGATTTATTCCTGTATTGCAATGAATCTCAGTTTATGACCAAACTCAGTAAAGACACGTCATTGTTACATTTGGTTGATACATTCAACAATACCTTCCGTTATCTAGATGATATTTTTTCGTTAAATAATCCAGAGTTCTCTAAATATACTACCGAAATTTACCCAAAAGAACTTACTTTAACTAAATCTAACATAAACAGCAGTAGTTGTCCTTTTCTAGATTTTGACATTTCAATATCTAAAGGAAAACTCCATACTAAAATTTACGACAAAAGAGACGACTTTTCATTCCCTATTGTTAATTTTCCTTTTTTAGACGGCGATGTTCCTTTGGCTCCATCATACGGTGTTTATATATCCCAACTCGTTCGTTATGCCCGTGTGTGTAGTGATGTCATAGATTTTAACGAACGTAATCAATGCATTACTGGTAAATTATTAAGTCAGGAGTTTCGTTACCATAAATTACGTAAAACTTTTACTAAATTCTTTCATAGATACAAAGATTTGATTAGTAAATTTGGCTGTACCTGTAGAAAACGGATTAAAAACGGTATTTCACATCCTAAATTTTACGGTAATATTGTACTTAAAGCGCGGAAATCACTATGTGATCCGTGTAAACCTTTAAACAAACGTATTAGTAAAGGTTAACTTACCAATGTTGTAATTAGATCTTTGAATATAGTTTACATTGGCACTAATATCGATTTTGTCATCAGCAAATTAAAAACATAACTAAATTTGTATTCTTTTCAAACGTTCCCATTAAACATATGAGCTTAAAAAATCAAGAGATTATTCGATTCAGTTATGCATACTAGTGATCATATAAATACTTTATTTTAGATTTATTATTTAATATGAAAATGAAACTTTAGTAATTTCGTGAGTCCAAAGCGCTTTTTCAGAATTTGCCTTCATCAAGAACGCTAACCAAAAAAATAACAGTGCATGGTATGTTAAATAAGCACGTGAAGAGCTATATGACCAAAGGGGACATACAAATAGCAAAATTCAACTAGGAGTAACATTTCTGATGGAGTTTGAACCTCATTGCATTAATAGTTTCTGACGCTGTCAAGGGGAATTTTAAAAAAGATTGGTATTATGATGTTAAGAGATAATGATTTGCAGATGAGAAAATAAAGAACTATAACGTTAGAAAAACGCATTTTAAACAATATTCAATAAAAAGGTACTATTTGTAGTAGGGGTTTCATAACATTAAATGCATTTTAAAATTCTTTTATTTTTTCAGAAACAAAAGTTGAATCTTTGTTCTCCAATATTTTTGTTTTAAATATCTAATAATACAATACTAAAATGACAGTCAATCAAATGAAATGTCCAAATTACAAAAAGTATTGACCGCTTTACTCATAAATGCTCAGAAATCATATAGGAAATTAATCTTGCCTAAAAAAGATATGACTTTTCTAGCCTTTAAACTATATTATCACACAAAACAAATTACAAGACGATTGTTTCCATTTTACATAATTTTAGACAGCAGTAGTTTACCGAAGTAAATAGATAAAGAAGAGACAATCAAAGCAACGAACAAAAACTGAGGGAATCGCAT